CACCAAATGAGTAGCCAAAGGACAACGGCGAAATTGGTGCAGAAACTTTTAAGGGCAATAATATTGTATAAATGGAAAACCTGCTCCCTATCTTATTTTTAACCACACATATATTAATTCAATTATATTTACACACCTATCTGAAACCCAATTCTGGATGACTCCCCAATTCATATTGTCCACATTTAAACAAATTAAACATAGTCCTCATTCAATTTTGTTTGTTGCCGTTTGTAATTCAATCTTACTAATCGATGAATAAGAAATTTAACACACTTAGGTCGGATTCAAATCCCGCCAGTTTTGGAGGTTACACACAAGTGTTGATGATCTCTGCTAAGTTGAATTAAACAATTTAGGATATAAAGCTTAATTTAGCCTATTCGATTGTTCAGAGACACCAGGCACTGCTGATACACTGTTGACGAGTCCCAAACAGGACAAAATAGCTGTGCTGTGCTCTTTGTCTACTATCACAAACATTTCCATTGCATTTGACTAAAACAACTTTATCATGCTCTTCCGAGGCTTTTTAACTATGGGTATGACATGGACGATGTACGCTAAATACGACATACTCGAAGTCAAATAACTCTAATTCGGAGCTGGACTGAAAACCCATTGAATAGCACGAAGTCAGATAGAACCAAGGCGATCTGTGGGTGCAGTTAATTCATTTCGGAAAAGCATGCAACTAAATATCACATTTGTCAGTCAAACAATAATCCATTCTTCGTTGACCAACCAGCATCGATACGGTCCGTTTGTTAGCTTTCCGGTATTTAGTCAAATCGATGGCACGAACTTGAAACCACAATATTGGTCAGAATCTCCGTCACCTAGTTGGATGACTGGAGGTTGTTTCGTAATTCGTGCCCACTGTTGTTCGANCTGGTTTCTCAATCACCACAATGCCTTTCTGCTAGCTGAACCAAATCTGTCAAACTACTTCGCGACAAAGATCAAGAGTGAACAAAACGATTCGGAACTTATTAGCTAGTTGAAGAAGTTGTGTAGTTGCACATGCATTCACATTCGCAAATATTGTAATGTGAATATACTCCGAATTCTAGCAGCCAAATAGAGTTGATACTAATGTGCTACAGGATGCCATCTGACTCTTAGTCACGGCAACTCTGCTCCATACGGGGCTAGGAGGGTGACGGAACGGTGGGCGGGGCGGGGGTGGGGTGAGAGATGACTGANTGCGAGGAAACACTGACAGACGGGTTCCTCGTTGATCTGGATTTAGGATAGCTCTATAAGGGAAAAAACAAAGCCATGAACCCAAAAGTTTCAGTGAGGTGCGTACGCTTATACTCAAATGCAACTGGTTCGGGTTGAAAAGCATTACAAAATCTCCGACCCTCAATTAGGTCGGTCTTGCGGTGCTAGGTGGCCACATACACTACAAAATAAGTCTGGATTGCGGTCAGCAAGCTGAATCACAAGCGTGTGTCATTGATGTTTACAGGACGTGTGATAATATCCGACAATTTACAGTTTTGGTATGCGTGGTTAACAGGAAAGACAATCGTTTACCCACGAACTATTAACCAGTTTATCCACGCGGCGTAGTTAGAATCAGTGTAAACATCCGACATTTTGATGAACCGTCCACTATTACCTTGAACTTTGACGCCATAGATGCATCAGCACACCTCGCACGAATCGATCAATAAAATGTGTGGTAATGACAGCCGGTTGTTTACAGAGATCGAACCACGTTTTGGTGTTTGTTCGCATCTAATGTATCCGGGGTTTGAGATAATTGTGGATGGTCAGTCACTTCACAGAGTATTGATTTATCCAAACCAAGTGCAATGACTGAAACCATATGGTAACACTGTCAGGAGCACATCATGTTTCAGTCCAAAGTGGTTGCCTGATATGTAACTAGTTCAGTTCATTCTATAAATTGTAAGATAGCAATTTTGGTGCTCGAAACACTCATTTATTGTGTTTGATCGCTGAGCGAAATCAACGTGCGACAGAGATAAAGAGAGACAATGAGAGCCAGAGAGAGAATACATGCTTACAAGATAAGTGAATAAAGGTTTTCGAAAATTAGCTAAAACAAATTCTGAAATGAAATGAAATTTTGTAATGTTCTACGGTGTTTCTTGTTTAACCTAAAAACAAGTAACAAGTCACTTTGGGCGTTTCAAATTGCCTTTTTTTATGAGTGCTCCTAAAGATTTTTATTTGAAACATTGTCACAATTTGTCCTCGGACTGTATCTATGCGTGTTTTACTGATTCACAACACGGTAGAGTTCCGGAAAATTCCGAGTTGAATCCATTGTTACAAAAGATCGATTTAAGTCACTGTCACTTTCGACCGAGGTTTGAACCCTATCACCATCCAATATTGGTAGTAGAAGGGTTTGAGGTTTCCCC